CAACTTTATTACCTTGACTCTTTTCTAAAACTTTTTATTTAACTAATCAAGATCCTCAAAATATATTATTTTTTTAGCAAAAAAAAACTAACCAAGATCCGTCAACAAGCAATGGTATAATTAATCATCATATTATATATAGTAAAATTGTGATTATAATTTACAGTTGGGACCGTTGGACTCACTCAGATCTAACTCCCGTCTCCTTCTTCAATGCACCGCCCTTTCTTTTTATTTTTTTTTTCTTGAAATACAAATGTTTATCTTTTACAACTCTAAAAATATATCTGTGGTTTAAAACGTCTAAAAACATATTTCCTTTTTAAATATTTTATCGAATTTACAACAAAATCCCACCAATCAAGCAGCCAATTTAGTGACATAGAATAAACCAGCTGTTTTCCTTATAATTCGTAGCTAGATGGAAATTACAACTTTGGTTTCCTTAAATTTTGTTTTGTCAACATTTGGTTTTCTTTGATTATATGAATGTAAAATATATATAAAATTAAATCAATTAAATCCATTTACGACTAGTAAACATCAGTCCTACTAATCTGTAACATTGTATACTCATAAGTTATATATCTAGCACTAGCATACAAAACATACGATGAATAATTTCGTTCTTAGATTTTAAATGCGCTTACAAGTTATAACTATATAAAAGTTCATAATATCGAATTAAAAACTATATATAAGCTTTTCTTAAACTATGTGCAAACCACCCAACTACAGTCCACCAATAGCGAGTAAATGGAGACTTACAGTGGGAGACGTGGCACAATACAGTTGGAGGACTACCATAATAACAATATGTATCGCCGCACGGAATAATTAGTAGAAGCAAGTGTGTGTAATGTGTATATATAGCTTATATGCAATATCATAGGGTCCTCAACCAACACTTCTCTCTTGAGTACACTTATTTTCAAACCTCAAACCAAAAGGAGACCAAACTAAGTTTGAGGAGATTTAGAGGAGTGTTTGGTTCTTTGGATAATAATAATCCCAAACAGAAGAAAAAAATGGCTAAGTCATTTGGAGCTCTCTTCCTCTTGGCCCTCATTGTCTTCTCCATGCTTCAAACCATGGTAACATCTCCTTCCTTTTTTTAACTTATAATATTATTTAAAATTTTTTTTTGGTTATTTTTCCATTTCAACAAGAGATATGAGCTAAATGTGGGTTATTTTGTTTGTACTTTCGTTTGTAAAATTATTTTGAAGAAACTACTTGGTACTTGTTTTTCTTATAAATATTTTGTTTTTGTTTTTTTTTGTAGGCTATGGCCTCAAAGTATCGAGGGAAGTGGAACCCGAAGTGGAACCCGGTAAGTTGTAACTATTTCTTAATTTGTTTATCTCTTAAATTAACGAAAAATGTTTTGATTTTATATTATTATTTTTGGTTAATTTTCAGAAAAATTATGGACCAGGAAGCCTGAAACGTTCCCGTAAGTGTTCCCCTCCACTTAGAATGTTTGTATAGAAAGTATGGGAGATTGACTATGAACCTTTTTTTGGTGAAAAGGTTGTATCTTGAGAACTTTGGCTATGATC